GAAGACAACACCAAAAACTCATAAGGCAATAAAAACTGAAGGCATAGTAGGCTACCAATAAAGAAAAACACAATCCAACCAAAGAGAACTGAAGTTCAATTAGAGCTTTGCCACACTTTTTGATGTAAAATTTTCTTTTCATATTGTAGCATGCAACCAAAGTGAAAAATGAAGAACCAACACAATCTGAACTGTTCATTGCAACTCACAAGCAAGAAAGGAAATGAAGTTGATTCTGAAAATAGGCTGTGATTGTGAGTTGCTTAAATTGTCATTATTGATCTTTCAGATTGTTTTGGAGTTGTTAGGCTATTCTGATGGATACTAGGATAGAATAGAAATAAGTGTAACATAGCCGATGGAATAGAACAAAATAAAGTTTCAAAAACAAATCTTCAAGAAATTATGAGTACCTTTCTTTGCACCCTTGTTCTAGCAATAGGATTTAGTTATGAGTACCTTTCTTCCAACAATAGGCTCGACTTGTGTTCTTAATACTTGCACCAAATATGGTAGGACAAAATGTTCCTAACTCCTCTCGATCAAGTCATATTCCAATTAGTAAAAAATGTTAGTCTTCTAATTTGATGATTATATACACTTTTTAGTTGTTCTTCTTAATTATGTAGAAATGGGGCAGTTAAAATCTTGTTGATTAATTGTTGATTATTCCTAACCCTTACTTTCTTGGTTATGCACTTCTATCCTATCTCATCATCACCATTAACTTGAATCTCAAATTGTGATTGCTATGCATGCAATATGAAGAGGCAGTTGAATCTCAATGGGATTGTTATGCTAGTGATTGTGTCATAGTATTGTCTTTTGTTGTTGATCTTCTGCTATTAGGTTGTTATGTTATTATTATCTCTTTTGGTGAATAATGAAAGCCTAGGAAATATGTGTTTCTTTGATACACATCAGTGAGAGATTATTATGCATTTTGCACGGAAATTCTATTAGTTCCTGTGATTTCTTTTGCTTTAATTATTGCACAATTGATCCTATATCACACAAATATACTAATACTATTTTTAATTTGTATTTTAATTTTTGTAGAATAATGTGAATGGTATTTTGGATGGCAATGGAGCATCCTAATCTTTGGTATTATGAGCAGATGATTATAGAAATCACAGTGTTTCATAGATTTTGTGACGTATGTATCTTTTTATCTTGTTTAATTGCTAGACTTATATGTTAAACTAATTGATTTTTAGTACTTATGTAGACTATAGAATTTGTAAATGTATTACTTTAGACAATGTTAATGAATTATAGATGTGTCTTTTTGCTTAATAATACATCTTTGAATAATTTATTTTAAGAATACATCTTTGAAGTATATGAAATTGTATATAATTGAAAATCATTTTGGCTTAGTTTAGAATTGTTTGTATTAAAATTAAAAGTAATAAATTATTATTTAATAATTAATTTTTCAAATAACTTTTACTTAATACAAAATTTAAATCATTTCAAAATTGTAGTTAGGGTACAAACTAAACCATGGTTGAAAGTATGGCTTAAAGTGAACAAAGCAAAGGCCACAGTTCAAGAAGGTGACATTTAGTTTATATAGAAGGGTATGCTTTAAACCATGGTCTTAAATTGAACTCATAGAAAACATTCTTAAGTGTGGCCTTAGCACTGATAAAAGTGTGGCCATTAATTCGACCATATACCAAGCTTTTAATGTCAATAGCCATGATTTCTTGAGAAGCATGACATTTGCTGAGGACAAGTGTGGCCATAGAGAATAGGATACGGTCTTATAGGCCACGACAGGAGAAGCGTGGCCTTAAGTCTAAAAGTGTGGCATTTGATCAAAGGTCACGCTTTTCATAACTAATGGCTACACTTTTTAACCGTGGCCTAAGGATTTATTTGTTGTAGTGTTTAGATAAAAAGTTGAAAAATAACTAATTGCTAGTCTTGCTAATTTTCTTCCCCTGACATATATTCTACACAAATATACTCATGTATGCTTATAGATGTAAATGGTAACTTTCTTTGCATTTGCAGTGATAATATAGAATAGAAGTTGTCCAATATCCTGAAGAACTAAATGAGAGTGCATTACTACGTATACATTTGAAAATTTTCTAAATGACAACCTCTATCTTTCACTATGTCATTCAATTTCTTTTGTTTTACAGCTTTAGACATCCCATCTTTTTCCATTGTCTCATTCTTTGCTTCTTTGTTTCTCAATTCTTTAAACATTTAAGGTTGTTTTTTTTTTTTTCTATTTTGTAACAATTTTGTGATTTTTTCATAACTTTATCTGTAGCACTAATACATGCACTCACATTCTCTTACGTTCTAGTAAGATGGTGGTTCATTTTTACAATCTCATCCAATAAAGATGAGATTATACTTACACTTTATATAAAATTTATGTGACTAGACACTTTCATAATAATTCCAAGTAATATATTTTAGTGTGTGAATTGATAGCCTTTATGTTATAAATATATTATTTGTATCATGATTACTTATTTAAATAAAAAATATACATTTTAGATTTATTTCTTTCTAAAAAAAAGTATGATGATATCCTTAGAATATTGAACATAACTTCATATCATATCAGGTAAAAGATTTGATTGAGATTTTTTTTTAGTGTTATTTATAAAATTTCTTTAGTCAAGTGTTAAAATTAGAACAATAGAATACATCAAGGATATTATGTGAGTGACCTGATAATTGAAACTCACATACCATGAATATGAGATATTAAGTTCTTATATAGATATACATTAGAAGAAATAATAGATTAGACTAACTTATCATGAAAATATTACACAAAGAACTGTATGAATGTCATAGATAATTCTTAATGAAATATGGTGTATGTGGTCTTTTGACTGAAGTCACTCAATTCTAACATAAGGAGCTTTATGTTTTATTTCATCAAACATTAGTTGTAACAAGGTTATCACTTAGAGGTCAAGAAAATAAAAACTCTAATAACAAAACTAACGAGTCCAAAAGAAACAAACAAGAATTCACACTAAAGTCAAGTAGTTGACAAGAAGGTGTGGTTATTGAAGTCAATGATTCATTATATTCATTCTAACTTGATAAAATGATTCAATATAGTGGATAAGAAAAGAATTATACAAGATCTAAAGTTTTTTAATTGTCGTTTTCACAATAATTCTTCAAGAACTCCTAGATTTCAAAACCATGAAAGTGACTTTCAAAATTATTAGTTGGATACTCATTTAGTTTGCATTTACTTTTTGAATAATTATGGATTAGTTTATTATTGTTTTAATTTTCTATTATATATTGTCTAGCTAAATCCACATTAGAGCTAGCTAAATCCACATTAGAGCTACGGTGAATCCTTTGCATGACTATGAGATCTTCGTGATTAATGATAATTTTATGTTTTCTTTCTTAATTGGTATTTATCCTATTATGTTATATGGGAATTAACAAGTCTTAAACATATCATAATTAATTATATTGTAGGCGATCATACCATATATAATCAATGGATCTATAGGATAAAACGAGACAAAAGATCAAGTAGACCAAACTTAACTCTTCTCTTTCAATTGTTACTAAATTAACAACTTGTAGACTTTTTATGTTTTTACTTCTTTTTACCTTGCATGGCCATTTGGGATAATAGATTAGGAAAAAGACTATTAACATTACATGACCATTGAGTGTTAACGATGTTATAATTACAGGATTAAAATGAAATAAAGTACCTATATTGAAACTAAAATGTACATTTTCTTAACTTTAGGAACTAATGTGTAAACAAGTGTTAACTATAAGGATTAAAAATATATGTTAATCATAAATATAAAAGAAATGGTAAACTTGTCTAGAAAAAAATAGGTATAGGGATTAAAAGTAATAAAGTTGATTATCTAAAATTTTGTGTAAGTATAATTTCACATCTCAAATATAATAAGTATTTCATTTCTTATATGAAAAATATATTTTAAAAGATATTATAGAAATTGAGATATCATATGAAAAATATAAGTTTAATTAAATGTTTGGTTTCTAAAAAGTTGCACAAACACCTCATTAGGGTACTTAAGTTCAAATTGTGTAACTTTTTAAAATTATAATCGGTTAAAATACATATTTGATTTATTTAGTTAATATGCTTACGAATTAGTCCATATACTTATAAAAACATGTGTTAGTCCATATGATTAAAACAACTAACGTTTTAGTCCTTATATAAGTATTTTGTTATGATTTGGTCTCTTTCATTATTAGCATCATTCTAATGGCATGGATCAAAAGGTAAACCATATAGACTTAAACAAATAAAATATTTATATAGGAATTAAAACGTAATTTTTTAAGTATAGGGACTAATTTGTAAACGTGTCAACCATAAAAAATAGATATATAATTTAACTTAATTTTAATTGACATGATGCAAAAAGAGAAAGCCATTAGACTGTAACTTGGGTGATGGGGTTCAAAAGTTTAAAATGTCACTGGAATGCAATTTTTAGCAGAGCTTCTTACTGTTCATACTGGATTGCAGCCGTCCTGAGAAAGAGATTACTATCAGGTTGTTTGTGAAGTGGATGTCTTGGAGGTTGTCAATATGATAAAGGATCGGAGTGCTCATCCTCTGCAGGTATAATACAGAGTTTCTCAAAGAAAATGAGTGAAATTGAATTCAATCATGAGTTCTATTGCGGGTGGTCTAGCCATCTTGAGCCTTTCTCGTGACGACTGAAGTTTTGGAAGCAACCACTAGCTGAAGTGTTTAATCTTTTTATGGCTGATTTGTCTTGTATATTGTAGTATTCTGTGTTATTTGTTTCCACTCATTCCACTATACCAAAAAACATGCTAAGGAGTGCTAGCAATCAGACGCTAACTACAGTTACAACATCTGAAGGCCCTTTATACAAGTTGCTTGCACCAAAAAACTACGCAAACATCTTCGTGGTATTGATGAACCATTCATGGAAAAGATGATCCATGTCGTGACATAAACGATAATGCAAATGTAAAAATCACGCCAGATTAATAATTTAATTTAGTTTGCTGAGCTTACACTTATCCTAACTATAATGATATCATCAAGTTAAACGGCATTCAAAAATCCTAGCTCCAAGTACATCAGTCACGTCGAAAGACGGTGGTACTGGTTCATTTAGAAGGCTCAATTCCAAATGTTGTTATTCTATATCTATCTATATTTCAAATGTTATTATACAATCGGTAAACACAAAATTGAAAGGGAGGGGGAAGATGACCTGTTAACAATGACGATTTACGTTCAAAACCAATGAGGCAGAAAAAGGAAAAAGAAAATTGAAAAAAAACAAAAAAGACTGTTCTACCTAAATTACCTCATTGATAAACTACCTTCAGCCTCCGCCACTTCCAGGCTACTAGACTGGGATGATTGCGATGAGATTTTTGTATTTATCATTATAAGAACAGGTTTAATAAATTCATCAAAATCATCCAAATTTAAATCCAATGAATCATCGTTACTCAATGTTGCAGGATCAAATGATTGATCCACTGTGTTCGCAACTTCTTCATTCACATCAAGGCTGATGTAGTCTGAAAGTTCCTCATCATTTTGTTGACATTGCTTTGAAGCCATCATCATCCCAGGTTCAGAAACATCAATGGAAATAGAACCAAAATAACGCCCTCTACTGTTCTGATCACCAGATCTCTTTCTTTTCTTTCCCTTGTTTTGTTTTTTGGGGTGATGAAGCTTGCATTTGGTTCCTTGAGTACAGGTTCCTGTTGCTTCAAAAGAAGGACAGACATAGCTGTGCTTCTTCCGACACTGAGACCAAACAATAGTGAGCATTAGTGAAGACAGTGGTGGAGTATGTAAGCAAGGAAGAGCACAGATACTGAACTAAGTAAAACTTTTCCGGATGATAGAACTTCTAGTGGTAGGTAGTGGAAATAACAGACAAGTGATTATAATTTAATAAATAACAACATTGAGCAATATTACAGAACTCAATTTGAAATCAAACAACCAGGGAAAAGGGCTACTACAGGCTGAAACTGAGGACATTCCTAAGTTATCAAACACTCTTTGTTGAAAGTCTGGATTGACCTTGTAGAACCCAACAAACCCCATAAGCACAATAAATCATCCAATAGTACAAGTGTAATGAACAACTGCACAGACATTGATTTACATAATTGCGATAAAAAGGGGAAATGTAATTATTTAAATAATCCAGTAACCTGACAGAATAAAGCATGATTGGTTAATAATATACCTCGTTTCCATCAGCACAATAACCTTTAAGAAATCCTTCACAAATAGATGCCTTCGGGTTCACATTGACATGTCTATATGGACAGTTTCTGTTTGAGCACAAGCCTGCCATGAAACTAGTCAGAATCATATTTTCCCATTGTCCACTTGATGAAAGAAAATATAACGCACCTTGCAAAAAATAAGAACAGTCTGGCATTCTCTCTGGAATAACCTGCACAAACAAATCAATTAAACTCAGACATTAGACAAATCCGTAAATGCAGTAGACCATATTCAATTCGTCGGACCGCATATATTACAAAACCTTATGAGTCAATTTGCAGTTGGGAGTAGAACATAAACCATTCAGGAACTTAGTACAGACAGCGATTTTTGAGGGATCATGAATATAAGGACACTTCCCTCCATCCTTGTTACATTTCCCAAATCTAGTAAAAAACTGACAATATTTCTGTTTTCGAGCCAACCGCTGTCTGGCAGTGTGCAAGCTCCATCTAACTTTTTCATTTGCCAATTTTCTTGTTCGTTTCTTTGGATCCCTGATAAGCTGGTTCCCGTTGCCAATACGGACATATCTGCAAATGTTGATGGCAATCAATTGAATACTAAAATGTGAGGATGAATAAAATTGCACAACTAGATATTATACAATCTTTTCCCTCTTATTTACCTAGCTTCTTCTTACTAGTTTGTTGAACAAGACAACAACCAACACTGATGAAATTCTACAAAATAGAAGGCAATGAAAAAGGACAGTGCACATACTCATCATTTCCAATTACTAATCTCTTTGGAATGTAAGCTCTTTTGGCAGCCAAACCTGAAGAGGAGGAGGCAGAGGACTGGGATTCATCATCTACACAGAATTAAGTGAAACTTAGTAAGATCACCATAGTGATAGAACCTGTTAACTTTCTGGGAGAAAGATAACAAAAGAACCCAAACCCAAACAATATAATGATAAAAAAATTAACAAGCAAATAAGAAACAAAGAAACCATAATTCTGAAGTATTCCCAACATGGTGACAAAAGAAAGGAGCTCCATGATTTCAGTATTTGAAGTCACACCCCCTCCTTGTCCAAACAGACAAACCAACACACCATAACATAGACCAATTACTCGAACATTATACAAATACTAGCATGATTTCGAACATATATTATTCCCACATTGAATAAATAAATGGGAAGAGACTGAACCTTATATTAAATAATAGCCAAACTTTTATTGCATTCCCAGTTCCTAATTGACACAGCTTGGACAAATTTAAGAGGAGAAATGCTGAGTTTTGTCACAAATTGGGAAACAAGTAATCACTAATACAAAAAACATTTTTTTTAAAAATGAACAAGTTCAACTGTCTGAACCATGATCAGTTCACATAGGTTGACTAGTTCATGACCAGTTTTTTGCGAGTTACTGAGGATCAAATGAACTATGCCTATGATCTCATAGTCAACCCAAGCCTAAATAAAGGAGGGTTATGTTAGGCCTGTATCAATCATAACTATATTGTGCTAATTTTAGGTTGTTACCCATAGGTAGCACGCTGTATGTCTTGAGTGCAATGTCAAATGAACTAGATCTGCTATATCAGCACCCAAATGTATTTTTAAATGAGCAAGGGTCCTCACAGTAGTCTAGACATATGTGGGTAAAGAAACTACTTCATGAGTATTTGGTTATGTTTGATGCATAGATATTGATACTTTGATAGGTAGGTCTTTCACAGCGGTGGATACTATGATTTGAGCAAGGATTAATATCATGTGTTCTCAAGAAACTAAATGGGTTAGAGAAAAAACTGAAGAGTTAGAGACATGTTTTAAACTATGGTATATAGGGAAGATAAGAGTGTGCAGTATACAAGATATGTATGATGTGATAATTACAAGTATGAGAACTCCAAAAGATGCAAGAAAGGATTTTCCTATAAAGATATATTCACATCAAGGCTCCACCTCAAGTGCTCACCTATTTAATCTAATTTTAGATGTGCTTATCAAACAAACAAAAAAATTCTGTAAATGCATGTATTTTGAATATAATATAGTTTTGGTTGAAGATTCAAGGAAAGATATTAACTCTAAACCTGAGCTTTAGAGACATACATTAGAATGAAAAGAGTTCTGCTTGAAAAGGAGAAAGACAGAATATATACATCGTAATTGAGAAAGAAACAAAATGAAAATGATTTCAAGATTAAAATTGAAGATATTTTCATACGGTCATACCATAAGTTTTTAAGTTTAAATATCAGGAATCTATTTTACATATTGATAGAAAAATTAATGAAGATATGACACAAAATATAAGTTAGGTGGTTAAAATGGAGAATATTGATAATTATTTATGACCGTAAAATACCTATTAAACACAATTTTTATCATAGTGCAATAGAACTAATTATTCTATATGGTAGTGATGTTTAGCTTTAAAGAGATTACATGAGAGAAAAATGAGAAAGTAGCAAGAGAATGTCAAGATAGATGTATGGCCATAGGAGAAAAGACAAGAAAGGATTGTATACAAATAGAGATAAGGGTAGAACCTATTGAGGATAAGATGAAAAAATTGGTTAAGGTAATACAGACATCTGAAAAGGTCACTGGAGATACTAATAAGGAGTCAACTATATAATTTTTATCCTATGAGGTAATCATCAAAAGAAATCTCATAAAAAATATCTTTTAAAATCTAGTTCTTAATCCAATCCAATAACATCATATGATCCACATAACCGACCTCACTTAGTGCAGCAAAGTTTTGTTGCTGTATTGAGGGTCAGAGGACCAATTCCCAATTTTTCTGGTCCATCGGTCCAGCTGGGTTATAAATAGGTTAAAGACTTTTGAGGGAGTGCAATGTATGTTGTAATTCAATGTTTAAGAATAGAAAGGAGGGACAAATGTTGTTTCTGTCTCTCATGTGGGATAAATGGGTCTTCTTAGCATCTCTTTAGTATTCAGCTAATGGCTATTTAAGATGGAATTCTTCATTGGGCAAGCAAGAAACTGAAAAGTGACAAACCATTGATTAGCTGATGTGCTTTGTGGTTTGTAACAAGAGGACTTCTTGTGTTAGGTTTGGCTTATTTCAAAAGAATAATCTTTTTACTTTTATCTGTCTCTTGAGAGAGCTTTTGAAAAATAAGCTGCTATTCCCCTTGAAATAAGTTGCTCAAAACATGCTACTGAAAGCTCAAAAACCATTATGCATTGGAAGTTTGTTCCTAAATGATAGGAACCTCCCCAGTTAATTAAAGAAACTCAGTTTAAAACCTCAAAACCCAGACACCCACCCCCACACATACATAGATATATAAAGAAGAAACTAGGCTGGCTCTTTAAGGAGCTACCATTCCTCCCAAATCCCACTCTTCCTACTACTTCCTTCCCTCCTCTTCCCAGGCGCTCATACTCTACCTGATTACCTCCATTGCCTTCCCACTCACCTGTCATATGTGCAAAGCAATTAAAGGCTAAATTTTCAACTTGACCCTTATTCACATCATCCTAGCTCCCTTAAGAGTCTCCTATCTGACACTGCCCTATCTATCTCTCTTATCATGCACCTATGCAATAATATTCATATGAGATCTATCCAGATGTCACCATTTCCAAATGACATAGTCAATCATTCAAAGGCTCAACAAACACCAAGATAAATAATATCCTAACTCATAATTTACAAATTTATAATCTAACTTGAACATGACTCCAATATCAATTTCAATAAAGGTAAACATCTAAACTAAATGAAAATGCACTCAATATCCGAATCTCAAATCATATGTTGCAAAAGATGTCTTTAAATGATTGGAAATGCCAAAGTACATAGTTAATCATCCAAAGGTTGAATATATTCATACATAGAAAATATAAATTTGTCATAATCTGAAGAATGTTCTAATATCAAAAGTTCCTATGGTAAATATCTATAGTATGTGAAATGGCCATTGTCCAAAAGGCACACGCTTCGTTTTGGGAATTGTAACATACCACAAAATGTAGAAAATGGGAAAGGTAATGTAAAATACAAGAAAAATGGTGTAGATAAATCTGTTGACAACCTGAAATCCTCTGAAGTGTCCGCCTAGAAGGATCCATTCTGTACCGAACTGAACCAATACGAAATATACGTTCTCCTACACAATCAACCGCTACTTTCAAAGTCAGAGTAACAGATAAAGATAATTAATACATGAAGCATAAATAAGTTTTAATAACACAAAAACATAGTAGTAGGCATTATGATATGACAACACTCACGGAAAGAATGCTTCCTACTCTTTGATTGAGAACTAATGCAAACCACATCTTTCTGCTCTCTTTTCTTCCTCTCTACTGCAGCAACAGCAAGCGTGGCTTCCTAAAATTATCATGAGAGATTGTAAGAATATTAATTAAGAAAGATATATGTAACATTAAATAAATTACGCCTAACTCAAAAGGGAAGCCATGCAAAAGCACCCTAGTATAGAAATTCAAACTAACCTCATTAGCTTGTTTTGAGTTCTTCTCAATGGATTTGGACCATTTTAAACTAGACCCACCAACACCTAATACTTTGGATTTCCAAAGAGAAAACCCATGGGTTGACCGGGTGTAAACAGTATCCCTCTTTCTCAACAGAAGCAATTTCTTGCTGAAAGACAAATACTAATTCACTAATGCAATTGAATATTGTAGAGGCAGACACCCAAATGTTAAGGTGAAAAAAGCAAACACAAAGGAAGTAGCAACAAATGCTTGAGAGTACCTGATTGCAGATAAGGAACTACTATTGAAGCTTGAAGCAGAATTATGAATGAAACTTCTTAAAAAGGTTGTTCTTTTCCATGGAAACAACTGAGGTATAACCCTTTGATAATGCCATGCGTCCCTGACATTTTTGGATGAATTTTTGCTACGAGGTGTCCACACTAATGATGCTCTTGAAGGTTTGCATGAACTCCTAGTAACTGCAAATCAAATCTACAGCTAAGCTTTCTCTAACCACTAATAATGCGAATGAAACTAACGAAAGGAACAGCACCAGTGGTTCCATATTCCTCAGCCAATGGTGAGTTAAAACCCAATGGTTGAAATGGCATGCAACATTAGCAAAATCACTCCACTAGTGATTCAAAACACACACAAAAACTATTATTCACACAAAATTCAAATAAAGAAAAGGAAGCCATATATGAAAGGCTCAAGACACAATGAATGGCCATTTGCAAAGCTTATATTTGAATGAAGAAGCTATTTCTAAACAAGCATAAGAGATTTAAAAACAAAGGCATCAATACAAGACAAATTACAGAATAAGTATGTCTTGCAAGTAGCAACTGATATACAGGCAAGGATAGAAAACATTTTAAGACAGTTCTTAATAAATAAACCACAGTATTCAACTAAATGTATTTATTTGAGCCTCATGCACAACTAAGCAGATCCATTTAAAATTATATATCCAGTATTATCCTGATGAAAGGCCACATTAGATTCATATAAGCACAGCTTAGAGAGATAAATTAGGCAATATTCTAAGTTCTTCATGCATACCCTTATTAGAACGCCTCTTACTAAACCTCCTGTTGCAAAGAACCTTAAGAGCCCCATGGCCGTCAGAATTTACAGTGCTATTGGGCATTACAACTGTCTGGTTGATATGACTTTCAAATGCAGTCCTTACCAATTGATTTTTGCTTCTCTTGTAGTAGCCATCGGAGAAGGCTATTTGGCCCTTGACATCAGTAGAGAGAGAGATATCACAAGAATTTGAAGTTGCAACCAATTGATTTGTTTTGGGCTTTATATATACTATTCTCTTTGTATTCAAAGAAACAATATTCCCATCATTTGCTTCAACTTGGCTCTCCCCATTATTAGATGGACCAGTTTGATTTTCAGGAGTCTCATAATGCTTCATTGCATCTTCAGAAGAGTTTGAAGCATCATTAGTTTCTGTAACTTTCCTAGGATCTGATGCATTTTCACAACAACCACTGGAAGGAGGTTCTAACAAAGCGGAAGATATATTTTCCTCTGATTTGGTGTCAATTGGTAGCGGAGGTGTTCTCTGCCTCTGCTGAGGAGCATTTGTTGCTCCTGTTCTCAAGTACATTGGCTGTTCAGTCACATCAGCCCTGCTTTCAAATCTGGTGCTCTTGGGTATTTCGTCTAAGCCCAAAGAAGATGACTGATTAACAGAGGAGATTTGAGGTAAAGCAGAAAATGGAGTAGGTTTCCTTACAAGACTGTTCCCTTTACGAATGTAGGAGGTATTTTGAAAGTTCCCTTTCCGTTCTAGAATTGACCTTTTGGGAGGAACTTTTCCTACTGGAGGCTTGCTTCTAGGTAGAGAAGCAGGAGGATTATTACCTGTACGATGCCAAGTTCGTGGTTTTGATACATGTGCTGAAGAGGCAGATGTCTTTGTCTTTGACTTTGAAAAGGTGAAAGAATGATTTGGAAAACTTTTGAGAATGACAACACCTGCTTGATTTTTTGTCCCACTTGATTCAGAATTATATGAATTTAGACCCCAAGATGTAACTTTGGAAAAAACTTGGGATGGTTCTGACATTATCTTCCCCACAATCAAGTTATTATGTCCAATTGCATGATTTGACTTCATAATTGTTTTAGTCTGCTGCACTGATGAAGTAAAAGTATTTAAGTCAGAACCAAGTTCAACCACAGATATGCTATCTGGATTTTCTTCATCTCCACAAATACTTTCATCATGGATTGCTGTATACTCTAAAACCTTTCTATCTGGTACTTCAGATGTCATACTTTGAGAATACATATCTGAAAATGCATCAGGTGCATCCTCAATCAATTCATCATTTGAATTACTTATAGTGATTCCATCACCATCAGCTGGACTGGGCATAAGGTTCTGCTGAGCAAGTAAATCATCCTTCATATTGAGATCATTAGATTCCATATTATCCCTTGGAGACCTTTGCACAAGTTCTCCATACTGGTAGTTTTCTTCAACAGCTGGTAAATCAGTCTTTTCTCCCATGATATTTCCAATAGCCAAAATGTCAGTTTGAGTATTACCTATAGGCACAAACGGAGTAATGTTTTCTTTGTGCTGAGTTTCCAACAATGAGAACTGAACATTTGGAACAGCCAAGTCCTCACAAGGTAAATAAGACACAATATCTGAGTGCTGCAATTTCAAATGTTCAGAACTCATGGTTTCCATATTTCCATCAATAGATTCAAAAGATCCTTCAGCCAAAATATTGTCAGACAATTTAGTAATATCCTCTGAATTAGGTATTGACTGAGCTGTAGATAGAACATCTATGCTTGACAAAGCAACCTTTTCTTCCTGAGGTTCTTGGTTATCTCTGAAACTGATAGGAATTCCTGCACTAGATGTGGTAGCCATAATCACATTACTGAATTCCAACTCACATTGGGTGAAATTTGGGTCACTATTTGCAACTTTTTTCCTTTTAGAAACTGGAGAAACCTCATTTGTTTCATTGTCATTATTTCCAACATAAAACTTAACCTCTAAAACCCCCTTTTTCCCATGTAAAGCAGTGACCCCATCCAGGCTGGATGGTGGGCTAAAATCTAAGCTTTGAACAGATTGATCTAAAACTTCTGAAGGACATTGATCCTTCAACAACAGACTTGAGCCTCTATCAACATTATTTTCAAGGCTAACTGGATTTACATGGTCTGGAGATATGCAATCCCTCTTTGAACTCGAAACATTTAAATGAGTCCTAACTTTTCTCTTTTTTATCTCATTTGTATCCCCTTCACCATATCCAACTGAAATATTAGAATTTGGGAATGTTTTTTCTGTGCCACAATTCTCAGTGGATATGGTGACATCACCACGGGACACCTGCTTTTCAGCATCATTCATGATACCAAAATGGTGAACTCCCATACTATCCTCTACATTATATGATCCATTATCAGAACCCTGCCTCAGTGCATTGGAATGTTGTAGGCAATCTAGACCATCCTGAATCCTAGTTTTTCCAGAACTTGAAAAGATAACCATTCCACTGCTTTTGAATATTTCATCCTCTACATCTACAAGATTCCTAGGGCATCCTACATCTGAATATTTCCCAGGTGACGAAGACACTTCGCTCTGACATAATTGCCTATTATCATAATCCTTGTGATTGATTTCAGAAATAATACTTCCATTTAATGATTTAGTAACTGTGTCAGTATTTGGCACACTAATAAAGTCATGGGCAGAATTATTTGCATCTAAACAATCAGAGTCACTCTTCTTATCTTTTCTACTAGAAGCACAAGATGGAGAATTTGAAGCGTGTCCACCTCTTTCAGACCTGGATACTGTCACAATAACAGAATCTTCGTCACTCTTACACTCTTGAGACCTGCAATCTGGCCCCAAACTCGGCATCGATAAACCTCCCTCTTTATCTTCAGTCAATACATTTCCTTCCTTTGGTAAAGAATGCAAACAATCTGGCACAGACACCTCTCCAACAGTGGTGGTTCTCACCTCCAAATTAGTTTCAATTTTCGCAGGACCAGAGGCCGTTGATGAACTATGTGTGACTCTATCAACATCCACAGTTCCATTAAGTGTATTTGCTGATCGTGAATTTGACACAGATGAATTACGATTTATAGCAGCTTTCTTCACCACTCTCTTAACAACTTTTTTCTTCCTGACAACCCTTGGGGCTGATTTACTGGGACAAACATTGACACCTTCAACTGAATTCAGCACCGCATTTTTCCCACAAGAATCATTGGTCTCAGTAGCACAAGGTCGAGAAGAACTGTCATCAGGGACATTCTTCTGTACACTCAAGTCCTTGCCTGTACTAGAGGTGTCATTGGCTTTGCAAGGCGAGTTATTTAAATCCACAACAGCAGAAGCTAGTCTAAACGGCTGCGAACCAGAACCACCACTATCAGAGACCAAAACCTTTTTACTCTTTTCCACAGAACCCAAATCCGAATCAGAAATAGGATTCACATTCAAATCAGGAACAGATGCGGAACTCGAAGGCGCCACAATAGCCTTAGCCACCAAAGAATTTGATTCAAAAGAAATATCAAGCTCAACAGGACTTCCCTCTCTTTCTTCTCCCTTCATTCCATGACCTAAATACCCATGTTGCTCCTTACCCCTGAAGAATCCAGAGCTAGATTCAGGAGCATATCGTAACTGCTCAATCTCACGGTTCCTATGATTGGGTTTAACCGTCTGAATCCTAAGAAGAGCACTCTTCTTCTGCACCTGTTTCTTCGGAGGAGTACGAGCAAATTCATGACCACACTCTCTACTGTTCCCTCTAAAGTTATATCTACCCACTTCGGAACCGTAATATTTCTCATTACCATTCACCAATTCAAACGAAGGAGAAGAAGGAGAATCATGCAACTCTCTTGATCCCTTCCTATCACTCATCAACCATCTCTTGCTCTCAACCCTGCCACTTCTACTTGAAACGTCAGCATCACATTCCATGCTGTAGACTCGAACGTAGCCACTGGGTTTCGGTTCCAGTTCACCCTGGCTCGGCGCAGAAGCAATCGGCGCGCCGGCACGGTGGTAATTGCCGTCTCGGCCCCACGCGAACCCCTCCCTAGGGTTTTGCTCGTAGGGATCGAAGCGTTCTGTCCTCAGCCTAGCGCCACCACCGTCAGCATCGTACCGGAGGTTTTCGATCGTGGGATACGATGGCGGGGGCGGGGGAGGACGGTGGTGGTTGAATTCGCGGTCAAAATCGAGGGGAGGGTAATTGCGGTCCTCAGGGAGGGTTCTGGGGCTAGGGTTCCATTGGTTGCGGCGAGGGAGGAGGTCAAAGGAGAGGGAGAGAGAGCGTTCTTCATCGAGAGGGTGGTGAGGATAGTTATTTGGGGGATTGAAGGGGAATTGTTGAGGTTGAGGTGGAGGAGGGTTGTAGGGTTGAGAGGGAGGGGTGTGGATGGTGCGGTAAGAGAGGGGTGGCAGTGCAGGCGGCGGAGCGGGTGGCGGAGGAGGCGGAGGAGGGAGGTTGAGGTGGTGGTGGTGTGATTGAGGGTTGAGAGAAGTGTATCTTGTGCGGTGTTCTTGGTGGTGGTGGTGGTGGTGATGAAGGAAGTGGTGTTGATCCATGAGGAGGAGGGTGGTGATGGTGATTAGATGAGATCGACGGCGGTGTGTGAGTTAAACGACGGCGTTTGAGTCTGCGATTGATGGCGTTGAATGAATCTGATGAGAGGTTTGATTTTTGAACGTGACCTAATCTTTTTCTTTCTTCTGATAATGTTTGATTGTTGAATCGATCAATTATTGGCTGGGCTGCGAGCGAGGTAATGTGACAACTGGCACGCAAGGCTGTGCAGTAAGAGTGTGTGCGTGTTTTTGTTGATCGAATCCTCGTTGTCGTCTCAACTCGATCACCTGTTACGTTCTTTTCTATGTTTTTTTTTTTAAAGCATTTGTTTTTTTAATATTAAAATAATATAATAATATATATTTATTATTATTTTAAAATATAAAAAATTAAAATTTATTATCATATGAATTAATTGTTAAATTATTTTTATACTCTTATAGTTATGTTTATTTGATACAGAACTATTATTTATATAAGTAAATATAATTATTTATTTCATATATAAGTCACCAATTTGACTATTATGTATTTTTTTAGAATGTAAATGTAAATTTATGTTATATAAATATTTTTATTAATTTTAATAAATTATTTATTTATTTTTATAAATAATCAAATATAATTTTAATATAAATTAAATTTTTAATTTCTATAGACATTAGTTTGGACAACTTTTTTTATTTTATTTTAAAAAAATATATTAATTCAAAAACTCCAAACACAAAAAGTAGTTCCAAAGCATGAAAATAAATAGACTCAACATCGCATAAAAAATAAGATATAACTACTTGGTTCTTAAAAATTATAATAAATGAGATTTAAACTTTAGTTTTCTCTAATTTAAAAGGTTTTTTTTTATTTAAATAATACTTCTTTCAAAATTATTTCTAAAAATAAGACAATTATGAAACAATTTTTCTTTCTAATGTTATTTCTTGTCAAATCAGTAAGTGTATCGTTCTTGCATGTCTGATAATAATTTTTTATTAATATTTTAATTATTACATTCTTGTTTAACTATTTAAAAATCACTTGGACTCATTTTAAAATGAGTGGATAGGATGTAAAAGATGACATGTGACTATTGAAAAATTGATAAAAAAAATAAATAAATAAAATTTAAAGTATTGAACAAAAAAAAGTCAATACACGCCACTTGTTCATGCACTAGTAGAATTGTGTCTATTTAATCGATAGTAATATCGGATCAACTGAGATGATAGTGCTAATATCGGTCAAAATCTATCAGCACTATCGGATTAATAGGGACGATAGTGTACCTGACAATTATTTATCCACTGGTCTAATACCTTGATCCACTCTTTTATCCATTTGAGTAAGCTGTATAAAATATGCAGCATTTCGTAAATGGAGGAAATTTCCATAGGATCTACTAGGGAAGAAATTTATACAAGATTAGTCAATTTTATAATTTTATTTCTCTATTTTTTAATTATTAAATTTAATTATTTTTAGTTTAAAAATTAGTAGAAATTTGTGTGAATATGAAATTGTGAGAAAGTAAAATTATATTTAATTATAATTGAAACTTAAATTTTTCAGAACAATTTTAGAAATGTTTTTAAAAAAGGAAGGAAATATAGTAGAAATAATGTAAGGAATTTTTGTAATGCATATTATCCAGTAACTTGTTTAAAGTAGTGAAAAAAAAATTGCCGATGTTAATTGTTAGCTAAAAAATGCTATAAAAAATTGTAGAAAAAACAAAAAAATAAGGCATGTTAGTAATAGAAATTTTTTATTTAATTAATATATATTTAAAAATAAATTCTCAAAATAATATTTGTTTGAAATTAATTACTTATTTAATATAATTTTTTTGTTAACTCAGCAATAATATTATCTATACAATAACAATAGATAATTTTTTATTATTTTTTAATACTCTGTAGACTATGTAGAGTCGATAATACTGTATTAAGTGACACATAAAAAAATAAAATTTGATATAAAAAATAATAATAATATCAGATAAAAATAAATGATAGTAATTTATTTATTATTATTTAGTAGTCTATCGGTCAAGTTTGATCGAGACTCATTTATCTTTTGAATACTTGTTGAGAGAACAGTAATATCAGACCAGTGGAGATGGAAGCGTTGTCGGTTCAAATAAAATTTAATATCAAATATAAAAAAAATAATATCCAACAAAAATGAAGATAATCATTTTTTTTATTATTATTTAGTAGTTTATCAGTAAGTTAGTAGAGATTCATCTACTTTTTAAACACCTGTCGAGAGAGCAGTAGTATCGAACAAGTGGAGATGATATCGTTGTCGGTTAGTGTCAGTTTTCTTCCTTGCTCGGGGTGAGCTTTTTTGTTTCTTAGGGTTGACAAGTTTCCAAAACAGTTTAACAAACTCAGAAAAACTAAACCCCATTGATTTTGTTCTTTTGGGTTAAGAAGGGGAAAGTAAAAGCTTCAACCTTTGGGAAAAAGATGAAGAGGGGTAAACTAGACCCGTTTGTGATGGTGATACTTCTTTACTTGCTCTTCATGAGCCTCGAAATCCCCCTTGCTTTCAGAGCTGGGTTTGGTTTTGAAAATGGTGCTCTTGGGTTTCTCACCAACGCATTGCCCGCGCCCATGCCAGTGTTGTAGAAGAACCGCAAGAGAAGCTTGAAATTCGAGTACCCAAAAAAAAACATGTAAAGTGTAAATCTTATACTTATTATATAAATTGTAATGATAAAACTGAACCGACAACACTCGTCCGATACTACTGCTCTCTCGACACGTGTTCAAAAGGTAGATGAATCTTGATCAAATGTGACTGATAGACTACTAACTAATAATAAATAAATTATTATAGTTTATTTTTGTCTGATATTATTTTTTTTTATTTTTATATCGAATTTTATTTTTTACGTGTACTGTACTCTGTGTAGTCAATAGAACATTAAAAAATAAAATAAAATAATCTATTTTTAGTGTATAACTGATATTATTATTGAATTGGTAAAAAATTATATCAGACAGATAATTAATTTCAAATAAATATTATTTTAAAATTTATTTTTAAATATATATTAATTAAATAAAAAAGCCTAGTACCAGTTGTTAAAAATAAATAAATTTAATAATAACTAAATAATTAACTATTTTCTAACATTCCACATTACATATATTAACAGTTAAAAAATTACTAAATTTAATAATAACTAAATAATTTTTCTTAAACAATTACATTTTCAACATTTTATAAATAATATTACGAAAATAATTCTACAGTTATTTATAAAATACTAAAAAAATATGAAAGTTGTACTGTTCACTAACCTATATTAGTGGCAAAAATGTTCCAATCCTTCACCACAAGTCCAACACCTAAAAAATTCATACACGCCAATGTTACTTTCTTTTTTTAAACTGAACAAATATTGGCTTTTTTATTTTAATATTATAAATTTAAAAATTAATTCTTAAAATATATTAAGTTTGAAACTATTTCTCTGTCTGAGGTGAGCTATCAACATGACAAAAGGTTTCGCTAAAATGAATGGCGAAAGTAATTATTTTATAAATATTTTATATATTATTTTGCCAAAAAAAAAAGCAAAAAACAAAAGGTTAAAACCACATATCAAATTATGAATAGTTTTGTTATTTGACTGACGAAAAGACCACAATGTTTCGCTACTACCTGTGCAAAAACAATTGGAAAATGATATGTGGCGATAGCGGCTGGAGTTTCGCCAATAGAATTGTGAAAGTCGCCAAGCAAAAAATATATATAAAAAAAAATCACATAATCAACGGCTAAGAAGTTTATAGGACACGTGGCATAATCCTATCTATTTCGCATATATTATGGCAAAGGAGTGTTTCGCCAAAGCAGTGGCGAAACCAATTAATTGTTGACACGTGGCAAGCTACAGTAATTGTTCCTGACCTTCTTCCTCTTCTCCTCATTCATTCTCATTTTCGTTTTACATCTTTCGTGTTCGTGGTCGCCTGCAAAACTCATTCTCCAGTCTAAGAATTCCATTTGTGAATTGCATTTTTAGCCTCAAAATTTGCACGTGATTTAGAGGTATAGATGTATTTGTATATTGATATTTTATAATGTAAATTGATTTGTATTATTTAAAATATTTGAAAAATGATAAAAATTGAATTTTAAATGTTTATAATTTTTTTGCAGGTGATTAACTGAGTGGTGAGTACTAAAATAATTGGGCTGAAAGTTTATTGTGATTAGTAAAAAATGTTTACAAATTTAAATATTATTATATTATTTGTAGGTATTAATATGTTGTATAAAGAATATTGTTGTAGTTGTAGAGTAGTAAATTAAATGTAAAATTATAATTAACTATAATTGTAAAAATATTGTTGTTGTATATTGTATAAATAATATATTAGCATAATATTATTAATGTTAAATATATTATATTTGTTATATATTTGTAAAAAAAAAAAAAGGATGAATAAATTATTTTATTAATTATTTATATTTAACTGTAATTGTAACTATAAAAATATTGTTGTTGTATGTTGTATAAATAATATATTAGCATAATATTATTAATTTTATATATATTATATTTGTTATATAATTGTAAAAAAATAATAAATAATTATATTTGTTAAATAAATTATTTTATTAATTATTTATATTCAGTTTTATTGTAATACATAATTTTTACAGCTATATTAATTTAAATAAAATTTAAAAACTATAAATTTATATGTTCAGTAATAATATAAAATGTTATGACGTATTTAATTAACATATAATCATAATTTGTATGAATCTTATGTATATATAAATTAAAATTGTTAAAGTAGTACTATAGAAAAAATATTGTATGTAGATAAAATATTATTTAATTTTTAAAAACGTAATATAATTTGCATAATTGTAAAATATATGTAATTTATGTAAATTTAAATTGAATCCATAAAAATTTAAAAATTTAAATTAAATTTATTTTTATAATTAGAGTTATTTTATTTAAATAATGTAACTATATTTATATAAATTGTAGTAAGAACATTTTAATATGAAAAATAATTGTAATAATTAAACTTTTCTATATCGTTAGTAATATATATAAAAATGTAAATAAGAATATTTAATTTTAATATGAAAATGATATTACGTAAATTATAATTTATGATGAGATTGATATTGATGAGTATACCTGATATTAATGTTTAGAATATATTTCATTGAATA